CCATCGATGGGATTTGAACACCCAACCTACCACTTGGGGGGTTGACAACCTGACCACTTCACTAGGTCGCCACACCCATATCTCAAATTCTTGCAACAGAATTAATTATATAAGTCATATAAATATAACCTCAAAGGTCACACTCACATGATTATTGTGCTATATATTAAATTTAATATAATAATTTTTAGTCCATGTACATAAAGAAAAGTTTTGTATTCTATATAAAAAATGAAATTAGTTATATGATACAAAAATATTTATATTGGTATATAAAAAAATTCTCTATGTTAAATAATCTCAGCTTATGCATAAATTATTTGTGAGTGAGGGCACAATTGCTACATATTATTAACTACTTTATATTTTTTTTGTTAATGTATAATAATGAAAAAATATCTGAATAATATACTTATATATAAAGATAAACAAAATTATATTGAAAAGTGGCATATCTTTAGAAGATGGAAGCGTGGATGTAAGGTATATGACAAATGTAATTATCATTTACACCTATATTGTAAAACATGCAAAAAAGTAGCGAATGAAATATATAAGTAGTGTAAATGTAATAACGTGTTATAATAAATTTCGCATATGTATAAATTTATCTGTACTATAATATAACTCATGTAAAACAAGTAAAAAGTACCATTTTTAAGTTTTTCTTGAAATAGTACCCTAACCCAAATTCGGTTAATAATCTTATGACATATATGTTATCTGTGCAACCAAATCTTTATATGAATTTTTTTAAATTTTATTTATAAACATTCATAGAAAAATAATATCCAAGCTTTAGATCTACTTCAAAACCAGTACAAAAATTTATTTATTCTAACTAAAACATATATATTTCTGCTTTTATAGTCTTTATAATAAAAAATAAAGGCTCTACTAGATGGTCAGATAAAGTATAATACATAGGAATCTTTCTCTACACTGTAATGCTAAAAATCTCGAGATCTTCAATATGCATCCCACATGTCTAAGGGTTATTCTATGACCAACATAGTGTAATATAGAATGTAAAAAAATGGTGTAGAGCATATATAGGTTTTTTTTTTGCTATTCTCCTGTTATTTGTATTGCTATTCAGAGAAGAGCGAAATCTATTTATAAAGAGGAGTATAATGAAGTTATGAAAGTTTATCACTTTACAGTAATTAAAAAATCAAACTAACATTTATTGCTTCCAAAATGTCTGAAAATTATTTTTACCTTAACTACAATCAACCAAGCAATGTATTGTATTTTAAAGAATGGTTGCCAAATATCTATTTACCAAAGGCTAAGACTTTAAGAAGAAACAACATTAATATAGCAGAATCTTAATACTGCCAGGAGCTAGAAGAAGCTATAACTATGTGTGGAACAAATAATTCAAAAAATAAGCAAAAGCTAGTGGAGATCTTATTTTAGTTCAACATAACTTTTAAGGTATATAATAAAAAATAGGTTATCTATTTTTTTTGGAAGATGATGAACTATTTTGCAGAAGGGGATGAAAAAATAACAACATAGGCCTATGTTGCTGTCTGTATTCAGATGTACATGATAAAGTTTTTGCATATATTTTAGCTTATGGAACACTAGTACCATAAGCATCGAAGGGTGCAATTCAGAGAATTCATCATTCTGATGTGGGTCTCACACTAGGTTCAGTATGAGCTATGCCTTGTGTACCTTGTTGCTGACCATAGATATAAATCCTATTTATATTATAGAAAATGAATAACTTTGAAATAGCTAATTTCATATATTATATTATATAATTATATTATCTTGAAGACACTAGATTAAGTTATTTTTCTTCTTCTGTTTTAGTAACAACATTAAAAATTTTATAAAGAAGCTTGGACAGGAGAAAAGAAGAAAGTAAGTATAAATATATATGCATCTCATATTATTCAAAATGAAAAGCACTTATCTTTTTTTCATTTTTTACTAATATAGTAACAAGCTATAGAACAGGAATATAATATTAATATAATTCAAGAGAATAAGAATTTATATTAAGCAGATGTGTAAGTAAATATCATAATTCTGATTTCTAGTATGTTTATTGTTAATTGGAAATATTATCTGTAAAGAGTTAAGCTAGAAAATAGTTGCTCGGAAGCTACTATGGTCACATATACCAAAATTGTTTGTTATTTGGAACACTTAGATCTAGCAATTATTAAACCAGAAGTTCTTTTAGCATCTGGTATTATTGATCTCTCTGGAAATGAAGACCTATTTGTAAATTTATTATCGTTAAGGTCTAAGCAGATTTTGATGCATTATGAGTTTGGCAATATGAATTTCCAGGAAAAATTAAATTCATGATAGATGATTTCATAGAGATGTATAAAGATCTGAGACCTGACTTTGATCCTGTGTTAATGTGACCAATAGCCTTTCCATGAGGAGAAATATCTATTGAATCCAAATGTATACTGATGATAGTTTTTAACTTGTTAGAAGGATTGTAAGTTATTTGTATTAAATTATATGTATATTTATATAAGGTTATATTATTAATTAAGAATATTCCTAATTCCAGATAACATATTTGAAGTCTAAGACCATTATTAATGAAAGATAATTATAGTGAGAACTCCTATGTAATTCATGCTGTATCAAAGATTTAGATCTAATCTTTACATATTCGAAGTGGTCTCTTAAACGTGCATAATAATATATATACTGTAATTATTTTTATAATGATCATTATAAATATGTAAATACCTGCTAAATGCTATATATAAATTTTAATATGTATAGGTCTGAGCAGACGAACAAGTCATCACAGTCTAGGATAGAATGAATGAAAGCCACGAATTCAGGAAAGAAGCCAGATCTACAAGTTTTGTTAAAGCCTAACACAGTAGAAAATAAAATAGTACTTGCTGAGGTTTTGCGATTACTGTCTCAACAAGATAAAGAAGTTATCGACTAGAAAAAATTAGTACGTATTTGTAAAGATTGTTTTGATGAATGATATAATGTTTTTTTTGATAGAAGAAATAATATTACTGATATAGCCAGATCTAGGGATTGGACCCATTACCTGCATATCTGAATATCTGCACAGTTATCCACATATTTAGATACTCTAAATATTTTATGGGTAACAACCCTTATCTGCCAGTTTTCAGAAGGATAACCTAACAGGTATTTGCAGGTATTCAGAATATCTGCGGGTATTTGCAGATACCTAGGAACCTGCAGGTATCTGTGGATATCCAGGAATCTGTAGATATTCAGAAACTTGCAGATATCCAGAAACATGCAGATATCCAGGAACCCACAGGTATTCAGGTACCAGTGAGTATCCAGGTACCTGCAGGTACCCAGGTATCTGTGAGTATCCAGAGTATTGCTGGATATTAAGTAACCTGTGACATTATAGAAATTTGTAAATGCTACTGTAGTACATATCTTGTTTGCTTTCTTTAAAAAAGTTACATAACAATTATATATTAAATGCAGTTTTTAAGCAAGGCATAATGATAATTAAATTTATAATTCAAACTGATCATATAAATGTAAGTGAAAGAAAATTTTTATCTTTATTTTTATTTTAAGCAATAAATTTACCAACTATTTAATATAGTGACTTTTATGTAAGTGATGTATATATTAATGTATTAATATAAGGCATAATGCCTCTGGTACAAGTTAGAAAGTTTCAATATTAATTAAAATGTATAAAAACATAGGCACAAAAGTAAAGTAGCAATTAATCACTTATTTCATTAAGTGATTATTACTGACTTTTAAGCCCTGTAAGAAACATTGTAGTATTTAATTTATGACTTAATATGCTGGCTTAAACTACTGTATAATTGCTATATATATTGCTTTCAAGAAAAAAAAAAATACTAGTACATATCACAGTTTTTTTTTCTGAGCTCTTAATATAGCAATTATTATAAAGTGGTATGCATATTAGTATTAGTAGATTTCAGAAATATATTAATTGAAATATTGAATAAAGATAATAATTATTATAAGTTATAAAGCGTGTATACATATTAATGTATTAACATGCAGTTTCAGGAATATGTTAATAAAAAAATATATAAAAATGTAAACAGATATTGAATCAAGGTAAAGTAGCAGTAATAACTTCCCTTTTATTAAGTCCAACTATTACTAACTTTCAAACCTCATACTCTTTATAAGATTGTTATATAAGAGACATTGTAGCATTCAATTCATAGTCTTAAGTAATGCTGAAATCACACTGATTTTAACTACTATTCTAATACTTTTCTTTCATCTTAAACTGCATTCATCATTTATATTTAAACCTATTTGAGTATCTTCTATTTACTTTTAATAACACTTATACCATTCTCACAAAATTTATTTAACAATATTTAATCCTTTTTTTTGTCAATTACAAATAAAATTCATACTTTATATCTTTTAAAACTGAATTGGCTATAGCATTTAATTGAACAAGACATATTATGATTTAGCATAAATCTCTAATTTAAAGCTTTAGACTATGTTGCAAACTTACTATGTTAGGACTTGGCTATAACTTTATCTTAAACTTTAATCACATATTAACGATATTCAATAACTAGTCTATCAAACTATTATTTTATATAAATAGGATCTTTATTCTAATTTAAATATTTTTTTCTCTTATTTTATTTGAATTTAGATAAAAAAAAATAGAATAGGGAAATAATTATTAGTACAAAACATTTATATTTGAATTTCAAAGCTTGATCACTAGAATGTATATACATTGTATAACAAATAAATTAAACTTTGATCGAAAGTTCATCATTATTACATATTACTATTAACTGATTATATTGATCAATTGAAGAATCTCTAAGTCTTGTGACACATGACTCCAATACAAAGAACTCATCGAAGATTAAGTCAAAGACTCGAATAATTAGTACTAGAATTATATAATAGAGCTCAAGCAACAACTAAAAGAAAGTAAAAGAAGACACAACTTAACCTTATTAATATCTTTAAAAGCCCAAAGCTCTAAAAACTTGAACCAAGTTTTTCTATGTCTCAATTATTGCCTTTCACATTTGGAGCCATGGCTTTGGATCTTACTTTTTTTTTTGTATTGATTAGATAGATTTTAGTTAGTTATTTGATTATATAGTATTTTCCACTTTTACAACATACATTTATGGCATTCTGTGACTTTTAATCATATATAAATATAATAATCTGTATAAAAGTCATCTCTATTTTGCATAAGAATAACATAGAATGCATGGAACAAGAGAATACATCTAGCTTTAGCCCTTTAAGTGATATTGAACCTGGGTCGAAAGAAAATTCTAATGATGAACTATTTATGAGACAACCAAAAAAATGCAACAACTTATCTGAAATTATAGCAAAAAAAAAAGAAAAAACATTTTAACAAAAATACAACTTTATCATCAGAAGCATTAAATGATAAAAATAGTAATGGTTGCAATTATGATTATATAACTAATAAACATGATTATAATTATATAACTAATGAACAAGATAATGATTATGTAACTAATGAATATGATAATGATCATGTAACTAATGAACATAATGATAATCATGTAACTAATGAACATAATAATGATTATGAAGATAGCAATATACCTAAAAATGGGTTAAGCATAAATCAAGCTATTAAGCCTAACCTTAAAGATCTTTAACTTATACCTATTGATAAGATACCTGGAAAAAGTTGGATATAGAGTTATTATTAATTATATAAACCTGTACAACTATATAAACAGATAGTCAGCTGTTTGTTTAATGTTAACGAAATTAATGGGCTTCAACTATGTGGCTATTTAATAGGATCAACGGATAGTTCAACAGGCAATTTTATTGGCCATTTGGTATCATAACATGGAATTACTGAAAAATCTCACAAATAAAATCTTCAGCAGCAGCAATCTAAACAAACAAATATCAATGAAGTGTTTCAAAGAATAGCTGCAAATGATCCTAAGTGAAAAACAAGAAGAGATCAAAAGTTTATTAATATGTTGGTCAAGGATCAATTGCCTATCAATATATGAAAAGAAGTCAGCTTTGTGAAATTTTTAGCAGAATTTAATCCTAGTTACCATTTGCCTTGTGAAAGTCAATGTCAAAAATTACTTACAGATGCTTTTTTAAGTTCCAAGAAAAGTCTTAAAGAAATACTTAGCAATAACATTATAACTTGTTCTTTGACTTGTGATTTGTGGACAGGGTGAAATCATATAGGGTATCTTAGAGTTACCTGTTCATCTATTAACAATAATTTTCAATTAGTTAAATTAGTTCTTACAATTAAGTATTTGTCATATCCTTACACTGGTGAGATAATTGCAGAAGCATTAAATTTTATAATTGATAATTGGAAATTAACAAATAAGGTTTTTACTATCACAACAGATAATGGAAGCAACATAGTTAAAGCTATAAAATTTATGCCAAATATCATTCGAATTTCATGCACAGCTTATATCCTACAATGTGCTATTGGGAAAGAATTGGTAGATGCTGAACTTCTTATAGCACGAGCTAAAAGGTTCATGTTGTTTTTTACTATATCCAAACAAACTAAAAGACTAATTGATGCACAAAAAATCTGCAGCGATTTGAAAATATAGTAAATGCAGAATTTAGAATTTTATTAGGTTAGGTAGGTTAAAGGTAGAATCATATTGGTGACAATGTATTTTTTTTATAATTAAAAAAAAAATTAATTTGTAATTATTTAAATATGTTATTAAAGAACTAAGACAAATTTAAAATAAATTGATAGCAAAATTTGTTAATGAAACTCTAGAATGATGATAATATTTTAATTTAACACACAACTTATTAATAAATTTTTAAGACCTAAGCAATAATGACTATCAATTATGAATTATTGCAGATGTTCCTATAAGATGAAACTCATCTTATCTTTCTTGGTGAAAACTTTTACAAATTCGAAGTATTATCAGTATGATAATAACCAATTTAACACTAGATAGTAATTTGCAAATCTGGAAGGATGGTATTCATCTGAAAAAAATTAATCTGACAAGTGTGGAATAGGATGCTATATCGATATTAACTGCAGTTTTAAGGCCCTTTGCAGAAGCGACTGAACTATTGAAAGGCAGCAAATATGTCACCATCAGTTTCATGTATAGTATGATTACCGTAATTAAGCAGAGGCTTATTTCTACTAGTGGAACTTTAAATATGGATTTGAGTTCTTCTAATGATGTTTTTGAAGATGATGTTATTTACGAAAATGATGAAGATGAAGAAGTACAAGTGAATTATGCATCAAATAAAAAGCATCATCAAGTTAATATTAATAATCCACAAGATTGCAAAAATCTTGAAAAAAAATAAAATCAGTGTTATATGATGCTATGTTGTATTATTAGGAAGTGCCTAGTGACAAAACCATGTTAGTAACACTTTTAGATCTGCAGTGTAAGCCTCTTTCTTTTATGTCAGAATCTCTAAAAAATAAAACTTTCGAATTATTTATAGCTAAATATGAAGAATCACAAGTTCTATATAGAATAAAAAAAAACAATAATGTACAAAACTACTCTAATTCTTTATTAGCTTCAATGTTTCATAATAAATGTCCATGGTTAGAAGTTTCAGATTTTCTTGAAGCTTAAGAAATTCTATAGAATCAATGTCTACTAACCTGATAACGCAATAATCAGAACTGATTTTCTGTGTTAAATAAGTTAGCCTGAAAATACTTGACTATTCTAGCAACTTCAACTGCAAGTGAAAGACTCTTTAGTGATGCTGAAAATATGATAACAGAAAAAAGAACATTACTTTTACCTACAACTTTCAAACATTTAGTATTTTTAAAAAATAATTGGCAGGTTACAGGAAGTGTATTTTCAGACACAAAAAATTGATAAAACTGAGTAAAAATCTTATGTCTAAATAATAAAACTTTGCAACAAAAAAAAAAAAATCTATATATACTAATTAAAAGATATTTTTATTTTTAGATATATCCATGATAATATAGCAATTAAACCATTCGAATGGTCTGGCAAATCTCCATCTTCAGCAGATTTATGATACTAGCAAATTTTATGATAATCAAAAGATGTTTTTCAGAGAAAAAAAAACATTGATGGGTTAATATATATTCAATTCAGAAACTTTGTTAGATCAAAAAAAACTTCAAAAGCTGTAATATTATGGTTCTGGTATTATTATATCAAAGATATTAACTTGTTAACTTGATAATTTTAAATATAGAAATCCTGCAAAACATTAAAAATTACATAAATATCTCTGCTTTATAAAGTTGCTTTAAATATTAAGAAGATTTCCATTATCAACATATTGAAATATGCCAAGTACATTAAATATTCATGTGTTTTAGTTATGATCCATATATAGGGATGGCAAAGTCCTTGGGTCCAGGACTCTAGAACCTGGTTTTGGAACCTAGTCTTTAAAGACTGGGTCCTAATTTTAGGATCAGGTTTTATAGGCTCACAGTAAGTCCTAATATATAAAATAGTAAACATATAGGTAGTAAATACATCCATGTTTATGGACATATAAAAATATGAACATAAACATTGGACATTGTCATGAATTATCCATGTACATGTTCATATTCAATAATTATAATACTGGGGGACTAAATTTAAGGACTTTGTTCTAAGTTCTGAGACTCATTATATGAGAACCTGGTCCGAAGGTCCGTGTGGTAGGACTTACAAGTCCTAGGACCAAGACTGGACCTAGACTGACTTTACCATCCCTACCCATATATCTCATACTATTTAATTCATATTAAAATCGTGCAAGGGAATTCTTGAAGGATGGTAAAAAATTGATATGTACAAAAGTCAAAGGTCAAAATGCGAATTTTTATCTTTATTTATAATCATAACAGTATCAGTATTATTAATCATGACATCAATATTACGGTATGACGATTTTAATATAAATTGATTCCATTATGTTATTTTTGAACTCTTAAGATTAGGGCTGTAAACCAAACTATTTGGGACGTCCCAAATTATGTGACAACTAGTATCATATTCGTGTTATTATTATTGCAAAAACTGTGTGATACTATTCATCACGCAGTTTGGGACGTCCCAAATAATTTGGTTTACAGCCCTAGTCAAAATCAGTAAATATCGCTATTACATATTTTATCATTTTGCGGTCCGCAGTAAAAATTGCAATTAATTGATTAATTGTGACTGCGCCCACAATCAATTATTCGGTAGGCTACGATAAATTAAAATCAGGTAGCAAATATAAAATACCAACAGGGTTTTGGCGCATCTCTTTTATCTCGTGTATTGTTGTTATTTTAAATTTTAATGCTTTATACACCAGCTAATGCTAATTAAATTATGTGCTATTGAATTAGTAAATATCAATATATATATAATTTAAATAACATTTATTACACAACGCGAATATGAAAAATTTTGAATAGCTTATTTTCAATGTGCATATTTTAAATATAGTATAACGCATTGTCTATCTGTCATCGTGTATCCATAAGTTATCCGGTTTATCCGGATATCCATAGAATTATTGGTATCCGTAAGGATATCCGGTTATCATAGGATTTATCCGGGTATCCACAAATTAAAACCTGACGGTTTATCCGGATACAGTTTTATAAAAAGGGTACAGAAAAACGGGTATCCGGATATCCGGGTCCAAACTCTAGCCAGATCGATAAATGTCAAGTTAGGGAAAGTTCCTGTTTTAGGTATTCAAGTAATACGAGATCGTGTGATCGTTTCTGCGTTAGACTTATTTGAAGATGATTTTTATCGGGTTTTCCGAATATGTGAGTTGGTTATACCATTACGTATTTCCTCACGCCCGATAGTTGAAGAATTTTTAAAGAACGCCCTTAAAATGAGGTTCGTGGTAGAAAAAATTATTGCAATGTCTGTTGATGTGAAGGACGAAATTAGTCTTTTGCCGGTAACTAAAGATCGGACTCCATCAACATCAATGATGTCGACAACATATTCTCCTCCAAAAAATTTTTAGATAAAAAATTTCTGAATATGTATATTTTTATTCTGTATTTTGTTTTGATTTTTATATCAATAAAGCTAGCCCTGGTGGCCGATTTCACGTACATAATCATGTTTACTTTTGCATGTGTATTTCGTGGATTTATTTATTGTATTGTTATCGATGTATATTAACTCGCATATGATCAAAGATTTTTCTTGGCAAAGTGATCGGCGTTACAATTTGTAACGTGCATGTAGTTTTTATTTAGTAGCATATACACAAGACACCCACGTGTAGTTATTCTGGAGAATCATAATCGAGTAAACTTTAATTAAAGGGTATAAATTTGAATATGTGTGACTATTTGAAATTAATAGATTAACGCTTGTAATTCATAGATTTTCATTTTGAATCTCTTCACATTCCCATGCAGAAATCGAATCTGGCAGCCAAATCCAATCACGAATTCTTGGTACAGTTACGCCATCAGCCGATTCAGATAACCTTAATTTATTAATTACTCTCGTTTGAATTTCGAGCTCGCTCTGAAAATTAAGTGTGAATGTTATATTGAAGTTGTACAATATTCAATGAATGTATTCAGCATGCCTACCACAAGAATATAAAGGAATTCAAAAATTGCTAAATAATCCGCCACATCAATGAATTCGAATGGGAGGGTTGCGGATTTGATCTGCGAAACTTTGTAAGCATGCTTATTTATTAAGCATAATTTACTGAGTGTTAATCAGTCACCTAACAAGTATTTTCATGTAAGATTTATGTTCTAAAATAGTTAATGAATGACAAATAAATTACCGATGCCCTGAATCATGAACGTGTATAGCTGTTTCGATTCTTCCGCACTTTTGTCCAAATAATTTCGTAATAGGGAAACAAGACCAAATACGGCTTCTTTCAGAAGCTTTTCTGAATCTTCTTTTAATTTTTTTTGATCATTGTTTTCAGGCCCACCCAATATTTCGATAAAAACGACCTCCTTGTTACTTGAATTCCGTACTCCAAGACCATCAGCTTGGTTTATGGGTAAATCAAACTTGGGGAATATCTTCTTCATTTCCCTCATACAATCCAATTCAACTTCGATCCAATGAAATTTGTATTCATTATATACTGATTGAATTGCTTTGAACAGAGAGACGACCCTTTCGACAATATACGTATGCTCACCAATATCTCTTTTTAAAGGACCTTTCTTTGTCATGAAATAACTAATCGAATCATTATAAAATAACAAGCATATCAGTAAAAATATTATGATGTCAAAAAAATATGGATTCATGAATAAAACAACACACATACAAATCATAAAGTATAAACTCGCAAATTTGACGAAAATCATGATCTTTTGGACTTGCTTCTGAGCTTAAAGGAGTCATGATAACTTTTACAAACTCCTCTTTTGGTGACTAGAGTAAAGAAATTTTAATATATACATATTACTATCTAAAAAGAAATTAACGATAACTTCCTGTTAATGCCATTATTAGCCAATTACGAATTATACTAGAGATCTCTTCCGTAGTATGATTGTCTTTTATGATCATTCCTTGATCATTTACATTTATCTTTATATGATTTTGTAGATAGATAACGGATTCCTTAAAAAGCGCTGACTTTTGGGGAGTAACCTGCATATTATTGGCATTAGGCCTTGGCGGTGGAGTCCCGGGGGTTTGGATGATAGGGTTTGTAGCTGTTAAAGTCGATAATTGATATTGATTTACTGACGTTGGTAAATCTTGTAATATTATTGCATTGTTTGGTATAGAATTTAGAGAACCGAGTGGTGGTAGTGGTGACGGTGGAAGCGGAGGAGTAAGTAATGATGATAATGGCGGAAGTGATACTACGTCACCTCCGGACATCATAATTGCAGGTGCTGGATTATCTGTGATGATTGATGAGTTAGTATTCAACGATAAAAAAATAATTTCTTCCATGTACTTTTGATTTTGGTTGTTTTCGTTCGCTTATCTTCTGCTAAATTATGTTTAAAGTCTTAATAATGATTTATATTATCACTTTTTAACGTCATTTTTTACCTTTTTTTCCCGATCGTGACCCGAATCCGAGGAAGTAGGACTGCTACTTGGTTCATACTAATAACAAACGTATTGCTTTGGTCATATAATATATTGCATATTAAATAATCCATCCGATATCAACTTACATCACTTTCAACATTAGATTCACTTTGTTTTCTTTTATGTGACTCCTGCCGAAATTTACATAAAGGCCTTTTAATATTAATCCATATGCCATAATTTAGACCGGTAATAATTACCTTCTCTTCATGATCCGATTCAGAAAGGTTAGTTTCATTCAAATTTTCATTATAATCAACAGGCGAAATATCCCTCAGTTCCCTCATAGAGCATTCTCCCTCCTAAAAGAAATCGCAAAAGGTAATGTGTTCATAATCAGAAAATACATATTTAAACTGTATGACTGAAGTGGAAAGATTTAAAGATATTTTTGTTAAATAAATTTAAATTATATACTAACCTTATCTGCATGCTTCCGTTTTTGTCGTTTTCTTTTTAATATAAGATTGCTTTCAATAATGTGCTCGTCTAATACATTAGATTTTATTCGACAAGCTTCCTGATCCTAGATTATTCGAATAAGCAAGTAAATAATAATTATGATTTTGTTAAGTATGCGGACAATTCATTTATACTAACCTCTTTTTCTTTCAATATACTTTTAACACGTCGGGTTTCGCTTCTCTCATTGCTGATACAAACACCATCCCAATAAGCATTTACTGAGTTAGAGTCGATAAGTTCGTTAAAATTTACTAACAATCTCCGAGCCTTCGTATTATTTTCAGAAGCGAGGGTCTTCAGTGCTTCGTATAAAACTCCCTCTGCTTGAGTCCTTTGAAAAAAAGAAAAATTTATTTTTTTATAAAATTGAACAACAGTAAAGTCTTCATCGTATATAATTTCTTTCAAAAGTTCAACATAAGCCTGTGGATAATATATATATATTAATGTCCAAAACGATGATTAATAAATGTGATGATATTTAACACGAACCATAATGTCTATAAAAAATAAAATATAGTAAGTAAACCAAATAAATAACTTTGAGAAACGGCATTTATTTTTAACCCGAAACTTTCTCCGGATAATTATAAGATCGCCACAGTATATAGTTGTTTCGCCAGCAACACCAGAGGAAGAAGTACCCCTCAGGATTTACAGGTCGGGGAAACACTGGATTTAGAGAACCAGAACCTTATAATATCCCTTGAAAATCGCTATCTGGCCATTTCGCCAACAACACCAGAGGAAGAAGTACCCCTCAGGATTTACAGGCCGGGGAAACGTCGGGTTTGAAAGAAGCACAAAAAGTAAAATCATACTCGCGTGGAAAAAATATTCACGTATCTATTTTGGCAGTACGAAATTTCCTATATTATTAACACATGACAGAACACCGTGACCGAGATAGTCACGAGCTAATAATCGATGTATCAGATATGTAATCATATTACATTGTTTTCCAATTATCTGGGCTTTCAAGTAGGGTTGGGGGCATGGGGTCATTGGGCATGCCTATGAGGCATGCCCTTGAGCCAAAAGGCATGCCCTTGTCATGTGACATAAATAGTAAAGCACGTGATTACACAATAATATGATAACGACCCTAGCGTCGCCCTCAAAAAATGGTAGCCGGACAGATCTGCCGGGTACATGTTATTATGTGATTCGGAT